GCCAAGGGCTGCTCTGCGTGGGGTGGTCGGCGCAGCGGGTGACACCAAGCTGAGATTCGAAAGACCGGGAGGAGCCCGGCCGGCAGAGGAGGAACATTCCGGGGAATAGAACATTCCGGGCAAGGGAACAAGTTGTGCTTCGGCTTCTGTCTAGGAGCGTGGGGGACGCACAGGGGACTTCCAAATATGGACAGCCCGGCGGCTGAGTCACTGATAAAGGGACCGAGAGAGGCTGCTGCTATTTCCCTCTCCTCCCTCCCAAACACATCACCTCTGGTCCCCCGAGTGGGACGAAAGGCCGTTTCTGTGACTGTGCAGGGTGCTCCTTATCGCTTGTGAGTCTGGAGATGTGGCTTCGCTTCGTCGACCTAGGACTGGATGAAGGGCATGGAATGTCCCTGACACCTTAGTGTGAACAGGCCCCTGAGAAAGATTTGCAAGAAGGACAGACAGACCGGGTGTGTAAGGGCAGGGGTGGGAGCCAGAGAAAGGAGAGGGAGAAAAGCAAAGGCTGTAAAATGCAATTATTCTGGAAAGGCTGATTCAGCCTGAGATCATCTTACCCTTTTAAGATAAGAAGCAATGACACTGTTGTTTTCTTTAGAGACTGAGGGAGGGAAGAAGAGAAAGTAGTCAGAATAGGAGGCAAAGGCGGCTTTTGATTTAGCACACAAAATACTGAAAATCATTTCATTATCATTCTCCCGATTAAAAGGGCACGGGCTTTTATGGCAACGTGTGTGTATCTGGCACTAGAGTGACAGATAAGCATAATGTCACCTGCCTCTCTGTCCTGCTCCTGGCCACAGGGACTGTCTGCTGTTTCGCCCTTCAGTAACCTTCCTTTTGATTTCCCGTTTTGCTACTTCCACAGGTTTATTGCCTACCTCCCTCTCGCAAGACAGGGGAAGGATATATAAAAAGGAAGTAATAATAAAGGGGTTTGTTATTTACTATTAGGTTATTAGGTATGAAATGTCCGATTCCCTTAAGTGCCAAGTTTGACAGTTGGTATCTCAGGCATTTCACTTTGACACTTCTTGCTTTATTTGTATGGCGAAGGTACAACCTCAGTCTTTCAAAAGCACAGTTTGGCTTGTCACTATCTTTCATAAAACAATTGTAGGGCAATTTTTGTGAAACCACGGATAAGTAAAAAAATTCGCGTTATTTTCGAATACCAGTTCCGTCATGGAACCCATGCAGCGCAGACAGCTCGAAATACCAACGGCGTGTTTGGGAAGGATGTGGCTAATGAACACACAGTACACTGACGGCTTGAGAAGTTCCGCTCTGGCGATTCCAATCTTGAACATGAGCCACGTGGGCAGCCTGAGACCAGGGTGGGTGATGATGAGCTGAAAGCTGTAGCGGGAGCGAATCCATCTCAACCTAAACTTTTGATTCGAAATCGGACATTTCACATTTAGCGACCTGATACTATCTATTGTTTGGTCTGATTTGGGAGGCGAGCTCAGTGGGAAAACATCACCATGCTTTTCTGGCAAACTGCCTACGAAGTTTCCGCATTCTCAAGTTTCCCTCCAGGGTTTATTCCTAGGAATTCCATGCATATCCATGCCTTGGAAGGACTGTTTTTGGGTAGGAATAAAGAGAAACAAGGATTTTCACACCGAGCCCTACATTTGTTTTGAACCTTCAGGTGTTCTTTGTGGAGCGAGAGCAGCAAGAGACTTACTCGGTGCGTTGGCGCGGAACAAGGAAAGGAATGTGACACACGGCTAACAAGTTAGGTTTATGCTTATTCCCTCCTTTTCTCCTCCGACCAAAAAGTAAGATTTGAGCACCATGTCACTTCTTTGACACCGAATGACGCCATTAATGTTTTCTCGTGCAGTATATTCAGGTGCGCTTCACGGCCCCACAGCGCAGGGCGAGGCTCTGCCCACCCACAGCCTGCGTTTCACCTGAGCCAGGAGGCCCCCGTGGGACAGGAGGGTCAGCCCAGCTGCAGGGCTGGGATGGCCGCAGGTCGGCGGATGAGATTCCTGTCGGATCCTAACAGGGGATCGGGGCTGGACTTAGAGTTCGTGTTGTTTCTACCTTTTCACTTTAGTCTTGGACTTTCCCCCCCCTCTTCCCATGATCAATGTTGGAGCTGTATAAGAGAAAAAGAAAAAAAAAATGCAAAGATTTTCTTTTTGAAAACGATCCCCCCTCCCCCAGAGGAATCTTCTAAATCAAACACCATTTGCAGGTTAATTCATTGCAAGAGTAAATATTTTAGATCCTATCATGGGTGCCCTCCTAGCAGTTTGATTATACATGGTGAAGATGCATGAAACACCACAAAGCCGCGAGATTAGGGCCTTTCCCTTCACGAAACGGAATAAATCGCAGGCAGATCAGAGCAAACCATGGTTTTCACTGCTGACCATAAGAGGCGCATAAAACTCACTTTTACCCCAATATGTGAAAAGCAATAGACAAGTGTAAGATTTTATTTGGCAGTGACTTATAGTCACTGATTACCAATAGTCACTGATTACCAATAGTCACTGATTACCAATAGCTCGGCTGCCACCCTGAACTACCTGCCGATGTCATTCTGCGGCAGTTCCCTATCAATGGACGCAGCTTTTAAAACAACACTAGCGAACCTTTTTTGGACAAGGCCGTGACAAACTGAGGACCGAGTGGGCAACCTCACACCAAGCCAGTAGCCCCGGTCAGTTCAGGAGGGCAGCTTGGAGGAGGGAAAGCAGAAAATAGGAATTTTTTTCTTCCATTTCCTCTGTATTGTTTGAATTGTCACACCCAACGTGCATTCACTTTGTAATTGAGACAAAAATCCAATAAAGTGTTATGAGTCATAAGAAAATATGAAAATTAATCTGTATCTTTAAAGCATCGTGTCATACATCATTTTCTGCCCAGTTAAAAGGCAGTAATCGTGCAACATGGAAATGATTAAGTGATGCTCCGCGAATACGTTTAAACACACAAAGATTTCAGAAGAAAAATACGGCAAAAGGACAGGTTACCTGTCGGCCACCAGGTGGTGTGCTCAGGGGCCCTGCCCTCCCCCCATGACGGGGAAATGACCCTTTTCCCCTTTCGTCGGATCTTAAGCACCAAACCCGTTTTTTCCTGTGTCTGCTTTTATATCGAGGATCTGACTCACAAATACCTGATGTCACTCTTCAAACCTGTGCTTGAGCCACTCATCCTCTTAACAACCAGGAAGTTGTTCTGTCTGTTTTGTCGGTGGCTGCTCAGCACACACGGAGAGACTTCCCTAGGGCAGGACGGGAGCCGCAGGGCTGAGCAGGGCAGGAGGGGAGCCGCAGGGCTGAGCAGGGCAGGAGGGGAGCCGCAGGGCTGAGCAGGGCAGGAGGGGAGCCGCAGGGCTGAGCAGGGCAGGAGGGGAGCCGCAGGGCTGAGCAGGGCAGGAGGGGAGCCGCAGGGCTGAGCAGGGCAGGAGGGGAGCTGCAGAGCTGCTGAAACTCGTGAGATAAGACGCCTGTCAACAGCTCCTCGGGTTTGCCCTGCTGTGATTTATGTCCCATTTATAACGGTCATTAGAGCAGACAGACGTCACTTAATCACAAGCACCGCCAGGTCCTGGTCGTTAAACACATCTGCTCCCTCCCTCCCGGGAGAGCAGGCCCCTGCTTTTATTAAAAGCATCGCAAAGACACATTCAAAACGCAGAGAGGAGAGAAGCCAGCGGTGGGCATTCATTTCATGGGCTGGTGCCACAGGAGTGCAAATCTCTTCCAAGGCCACCATTTTCCAGCTCGTTCTACCTGTTCGGCCTGTCGGCGGGGCCGGAGCACGGGCACCAGCTGTCGCCGGCACCTGTCGCACTGCTGTGCGCACACCTGGTGCCTGGCCCCGCATACGGCCTCGCAAAACGGCCAGAACGGGACTCACGGCTAAGTGCAGGACGGGAACGGATTTTCACAACCGCAACACGAGACTGTCCAAGAAGTCTGCCTTTATCACAATAGTCTGCCCTTTGAGATGTTCTCTCTGACGGATCAGTTACTTGATTAGTCTAATAATGTCCGTGACAGCGCTTAGTCAACGATAAAGGGACGGACGAACGCAAGGTGCCGCTTCCACTCGAAGACCTCGTACATCCTGATGTTCCTAACAGAGAAGCCGGGCCCAGGGAGAAGCCAGCATGGCACGAGGGAAACCGAGGACAACGCCTCCCCGAGAGGGACCCTCCCTGACGCACATCGGAAACGTCAGCTGCCACGCACGCGGACACAGGAGGGGTTCCCTAGACCCCGCGAACACGTTGCCGTGGAAACACGGGGGCAGACGCACACCCTAAGGGCAGCGATGGCGGTCTGTTGCGCTGCGCCATGACCCCGAGAGCTTCTTCCTGCCCCTCCTGACGCCGCGACGGCTCCGCCCACGACAGCCCTCTGCCGCGGTGCCCGCGTAAACAGCCCACGCAAGGTCACCATCCTGAGACGACAACGGAAGCCACACACGCAGGCGGTGGCCACGGCACCTCTCGGTTCCCCGGCGGTTCCCCGGCAGTCCGGAGCCAAGCAGGCCACGCTGCGACGGGCGCCCTTCCTCCTGACGGCCCCGGCCACCCTGACAGCCCCTGCTCATGGTGCCACATCTCCTGCTGACACCCGAGCTGGAAGCAGCACGCGCCAAGCACGCACGCGTACGGCTGGGAACGCATTCTGGGGAGGCCCCTTCTCCATCGCCTCCGGGGACGGCCACCCCCTTGGCCGTACGCTGCTGGGTGTGACACGGTCACAGCCGCGGCCGGTCACGGGCTTTAGCAGTGGCCGATTCAGCTCAGCCTCTCGTGCACCGCCTTTATGTCCAGGCGTTCTCAGCACCCTGAAGGACTGCGCCCGGCAGCGAGCTCACCCGGCTCAGGGACAGCCTGCCTGCAGAAGCGGCGACTGCCCCACAGTTGCATCCCGGCTAAAAGCTTTCCCAGCCAGAGAGGAACGCTCGAGCAGGGGTGCGGGAACGGCTAGGAGACCTCTCAGAATACTCACAGTTTGGGCTTGGCCAGCAGCGGCGGCGGCTCCTTGGTAGGCGAAAGCAGGATGGCTGGCGCCGCCGGGGGGCTCTTGTCGCCGACGTCAGCTTGGCCGTTGGCCAGCCCATTCATCCCGAGGACCGGACCGGCTCCCTGTGCCTCCCTCTCGGCGGGGCCGAGCTGCGTCTCACGTAGGGCTGCCCTGCCCGGGCCGGACGCGGGGCTGCCCGCCTGCTGGACCTCGGGGGTCTCCTGGGAAGCCGGCTCAGAGGGGCTTGTCTCCAAGATTGCAGGGGGAGGTGGAAAGTGCTGGAAGTGATCGCTGCTGCAGTCGCCCACTGAGTTATAGCTGCAGTTTTCGGTGTTGGCTAAGGGAGGGGAAATACAGGGAAAATGGTAAGACGCTTCCAGTTCAACAAGCGATTTCCACCTTGTCTTGGAGCTTCTGAGAGTCCCCTGCACCCTGCTTCCTTGCTAGAGACCAGGCAGGTGCGCTGGGCTCACTGGACGCAGAAGCTCGTCAGCTGGGGCTGCGCCCTCCCAGCTACCTGCTTGCCTCCTGACCGAGACCCCCCAGGGGAACCGGCTACTGCCTCATTAACTCACTTCAGATGAGAGCTAAAGACAGGGCCGGGCGCGGCGGCTCACGCCTGTAATCCTAGCACTCTGGGAGGCAGAGGCGGGCGGACCGCTTGAGGTCAGGAGTTCGAAACCAGCCTGAGCAAGAGCGAGACCCCGTCTCTACTATAAATAGAAAGAAATTGATTGGCAAACTAATATATAGAGAAAAAATGAGCCGGGCATGGTGGCACATGCCTGTAGTCCCAGCTACTCGGGAGGCTGAGGCAGCAGGATTGATTAAGCCCAGGAGTTTGAGGTTGCTGTGAGCTAGGCTGACGCCACGGCACTCACTCTAGCCCGGGGAACAGAGTGAGACTCTGTTTCAAAAAAAAAGGAAGAAAATACTGACATGTTGCAACATGGATGAACCTAAAAGAGCTAACGGCAAAACCTGGTAAAACCTGACGACACAAACAGTGTCAAGTATCGGCGCTGTGCCCTCTCACATTCGGGCCCGTGGGCCAGACGGAACACCCTGTCTCCACCAACGTCGGCTTAAACTACAAGGTTTCAGGTAGATGCTCCCTGTGTTTCACAGCTAAGAGAGCTGAAGCTCCGAGTCACAGTGACATCTCTCCAGATCTAGCAAAGACTTTTTCCCATGTCAGGTGATCGCCCCGCCTGTAAGTCAGCACTCAAGAGGTTCTCACTGCTGCCCTCCGTGGGCCGAGAGTGCCTTCCGACCAGGTCGGTTTTGCATTCTGCGCCTCGCCCGGGCAGGGCAGGGCAGGGCTGGGGCTGGGGCTCGCACCCAGGATTGCTTACATGGAGGGAGACAGAAAGCTGGGGAGTGCCCGCTGTTAGTGTTTGGCCTGCGACAGACTTACCCTAGATGCAAGGGGAGAATATTCCGCACCCGTCTCTGCCATGAAGGCTTGCGGGGTGCAGGCGTCGGCCTCGCCGGGCTGTGTGCGGGCTCATCCGCGAGCCGACGCGAGTCGCAACGCTGGCCCTCCCTGCTCTCAGCTCCTGTTATGACGCCGCGGTTTCCTCTGAACGCTTGCTTTGTACAGGCGTGCACGGCCACTTGCGTGCACGGGTCGCACGCGTGGGCACTGCTGAGAGCGGGGCGTGCGCCTCTGCTCGGGAGGCGGCCCTCGGGCGTGAGTGTAGCATGAGGATGCCAGGAAACCGCCGTTTCCAAGATGGCGCCGTTTAAAGCCGGAGTCCTCAGACTCCAGCCCGCGGGCCGCATGCGGGTGTTTCTGCATGTTTTTTGTTTTTTGTTTTTTTTTTGCTTCAAAATAAGATATGTGCAGTGTGCACAGGAATTTGTTCATAGTTTTTTAAAAAACTATAGTCCAGCCCTCCGATGGTCTGAGGGACAGTGAACTGGCCCCCTGTTTTAAAAGTTTGAGGAGCCCTGGTTTAAAGCTTAAAGTGTTCATTCATATAACCGTTTTCCCGTTAAGATGAAGCTCACGTTTCTTTTCTCAATTGCCATGAAGCAGCAGGCACGGCGGCCACTCTGACAGCCTACACCGTGCGCTGGCCTGGGCCTCTGCTGCCCCCTAGCACCCAGCCCTCGCTCTTCTAGAGGAACCAAAGTGCGAGTCAGCTCCCCCCACGCTGTCGCGTCCTCCCCAAGACCCGTGTATCCACCCCTACTTATGTGTGCCGCGGGCCAGGCTCGGGCAGAGGGGTGGGTTAACAGCCTCCATGAGACGAGTAGCAGGGGTGAGGCAGTCACAGTGAGCTAAAAGCTCATTAGCAATAGCAGAAAACAGCCGGCTAAAATTAAAAAGAAAAACAAAAAGAGCAAAGAGCTGTCTCACACTACCTTGCCCAGCGGGGAGTTTCTGAGTTTAGAAAAGATCCACGTATTTTTGAATACTGGTTTCAACAGCACGGACATTGCTTTATTTTTCATACCAGTTATATATGCTGATACAGACCATGGATGAAATTTGATTTCCAAAATCTTTACACCTTCTCTGAGTTTACCTTGCATTGCCCTTTACACAAGTGGGTTTGTCTTGTGTTACCGTTTCAGAAGTTTTGACGGCGGATTAGACGGCCACTTGCGTGTACAGGCGTGTATGGCCACTTGCGTGCACGGGTCGCACGCGTGGGCACTGCTGAGAGCGGGGCGTGCGCCTCTGCTTGGGAGGCAGCCCTCGGGCGTGAGTGTGACCCGGTTAGCATGAAGACGCTAGGAAACCGCCGTTTCCAAGATTGCACCATTTAAAGCAGGCGTCCTCAAACTACAGCCTGCGGGCCACATGCGGGTGTTTCTGCATGTTTGTTTTTTTACTTCAAAATAAGATATGTGCATCGTGCATAGGAATTTGTTCATAGCTTTTTTTTTAAAACTATAGTCCGGCCCTCCAACGGTGTGAGGGACAGTGAACCGGGCCCCTGTTTAACAAGTTTGAGGACCTCTGATTCAAAGCAACAGCCCAGGTGTGTGCTCAGCTGCGACGTCACCCTCATCTTTTTGAGCCCGCCGCCTGCACTTCCACCGACTCCCCTCCCGTCCCCCAGGGCCCACCGAGTCACAGGGACACACGGACTGCAGGGTGACTCCGTGCTGGCGGGCGGGCGCTCCTGAGGGCCGGTGCTCGCCCTGGACAGTTCCTTTCTGCTGTGGCCACGCGCACCGTGTCTGGGGGGCAGAGCCCCGCCGCGCCCCCCGCCCCACGTACCTGAGGTGACAACCAGCCGCGCGGTGCTCGCCACGGAGCCATAGTCGTTCCTGGCCGCGCACGTGAAGATCCCCGCGTCCTCCGGGAAAGTCTCCGCGATGACCAGGGTGCAGATCTCCTCTGCAAGGGGAGGGGACAGAGCGACCGTCAGAGGGAAGCCGGGAGTCGCTCAGAGGAAGTCTGACCCTCTCCGCCTTTGCACCACCAACAAATCAGGTGATGACGACCGCCCGGTCGCTTTACACGGTGCTCACGGTGGGATCTCTGCACGTTTAGGTCAGCCGTCGGCCTGGGGGAAGAGCTGTGGGGTCAGACCCATTCTTTGTGGTTTTAAACAGGAGCACGTTTAGCGCAACGGTTAAATGCAATGTACGAGCAACGGCTTCGTCCTCTGTGGAACGGGGTATCTGTGAAGACACAGCGAGATGCTGCAAGTGTGCGACTCTGCACTTTGCACGTGGGGGACGCTCCGGAAACGCCAGCTTCATCTGCTCCCGCCCAGTTTAGCCAATCGTATGTGGAAGGCCTTTCCGTACAGTAAAGTAGACAATGCAAAGTAAAAGTCTCCCTTTCGTTACTCAATTCCCTCTGCATAGCCAATTCCCCTTCATGATCTCACTCCCTAAAGGCAGGCGCAATTAAAGAGTTTATTGTATTTGATTCTAGAAAAAACATTAACGTACCTATCATTTTGAAAGTAACCCGAGCATTATCGAGCCATATAGTTGTTGATGTAGCATGTCTGGTTTTGCATTACCAAGCGACGTGGCCTGCAGGCTCACGGGGCTTGACTCCATTTCCCATCCATCCCGTGAGCCTTAGCTCCCTAAGTCGTCCCCCACGTCCCTTCCGAGACCCCGTGAGGAAGTGGTACCTTCCTCGGGAAAGATCTGAGGACTCGTGATTTTAAGCTCTTGCAATTTTAGCAATGCAGCGTGGCTCAAGGTGAACTCTTTTCTAAAATACATTAATACGGGTTTAAAATTGTAAGGGCTATGAAACACACACCTTATTCTTTCAGCACGTTATTCAGTTTAACGTTGAAATGGGGTGGGAAAGAACTAGATGCCCAATGTAGAACACAGAATGAATGGATAATAGAGCTTAATAAGGACAAATGAAAGGAATTGAGATTATTTAGGTACAAGGGAAGGGCAATGACATAGGCCAAGTACTGCAAAGTCCCATTTATGCGGCATCTAAACTGGTCTCACCCTTAGAAGCAGCCCCATTGCAGTCCTGCCAACCGTGTACCAGCGTTCCCGTCTCTCTGCATCCACGGCAGCATCTATCGTTTTGGGACTTGTTAGTAGAGGCTATTCTAACAGGGGTTAGGTGATATCACATTGTGGTTTTAATCTGCATTTCCCTGATGATTAGTGATGTTGAACATTTTTTCTTACGTTGATTGGCCATTTGTCTATCTTCTTTTAAAAAGCTTCTGTTCATGTCTTTTGCATACTTTTTAATGGGGTTATTTGGTTTTCTCTTGCTGATTTGTTTGAGTTCTTTGTAGATTCTGGATATAAGCCCTTTATTGGATGCATAGTTTGTGAATATTTTCTCCCATTTTTTAGATTGTCTGTTTGTTCTCTTGATTTTCTTGTTAACTATGCAGAAGCTTTTCAATTTAATCAAGTCCCATTTATTTATTTTTATTGTTGCTGTGATTACCTTTGGGGTCTTAGTCATACATTCTTTGCTTAGGATGATATCTAGAAGACTTTTTCCTCCATTTTCCTCTAGAATTTTTATTGTTTCATGCCTTACTCATACTGCGGAAATTATCCCCTAACACTGAGAAGGAGGGAGTCCTCCTCAACTCATTCTATTAAGCCAGTATCATCTTTATACCAAAGCCAGTAAAGGACACAACAAAAAATGAAAACTACAGACGATTAACTCTTATGAATATAGATGCAAAAATCCCCACTAAAATACTAGCACATCAAATTCAACAGCACATCAAAAAAATAAATAAATAAAATAACTGATCATGACCAAGTGAGCTTCACCCTAGGGATGCGAGGATGGTTCAACATATGTAAATCAGTAACTGGGATCCATCACATAAACAGGAGCAAACACAAAAACCATATGATCCTCTCAATAGATGCAGAAAAAGCATTTGACAAAATCCAGCACCTTTTCATGATAAAAACCATCAACAAACTAGGACTAGAAGGGACATGTCTAAGAATTTTAAAAGCCACAAACCCACAGCCAACATTATACCGAGCAGGGAAGAGCTGAAAACATTCCCACCAAGAACTGCAACACGACAAGGGTGCCCACCATCACATACGAGTAACATAGGTCACGTTTTAAAATTTTATGATCAAAATAGACCTTTAAAAGATAAATTTGCTGTACCCAGTGTGAATGTGGATTTATGTGAATAATACTCCATAGAATTCTCTGCCTTTCCCAGTGGTCACGTAGGTGGAAAACAAAGCCAACTGTGTTCAATACTAGCAGGATATTTACTTTCAGTTCTCTACTGTTGATAAGAACAAAAGGAAAAAAAAATATTGAAATTCTGAATCCCAGTTACCTACTGTGTTTTATAATTTCAATGTTGTATTTCCATAAATAAAGTTCACATTAGGATCACGTCCCGTAAAACAGGAGGCTGCGGTGTAACAGGGAGGGCAGGTGTGTAAACTGAGGCATGCTCACCTCTGCCCACCTCAGCCTCTCATCAGTCCCCTGCCTCAAGATGCACCGTGGGGAAACACCAGGAACAAATGTGTAAAGCTACGGAGTGGGACCCAGCAATCCCACTTCAGGGAACACAGCCGAAGGAACTGAGATGTGTGCATTGGAGAGATATACACTCCCATGGTCACTGCAGCGTCACTCACAACAGCCAAGATATGGAAACAACTGAAGTGCTCACCGGTGAGTGGATGGATTGAAAAACGTGTGGTGCATGTGCACAATAGCATTTAGTCTTAAAAAGTCAGGAAATGCCATCATTTGAGACAACATGGATGAACCTGCAGGACATCATGCTAAGTGGAACAAGCGGGCACGGAGAGACAAACACTGCCTGATCTCACTTATACGTGGATTCTAAAGTAAGCAGAGAGTAGGATGGTGGTCACCAGGGGCGGGTCAGGGAGAGGGGACAGGGAGGGTGGGGTCTGGGAGAAGGGCACTGGGTACGAAGCCTCACTGAGACAGGAGGAATAGGTTCTGGGGAGCTACCGCAGGGCACGGTGACTACAGTCAATAATAGCGTATTGTGTACTTCAAAATAGCTAAAAGACTGGACGGTAAATGCTCTCATCACAAAGAAATGGTAAGTATTTGAGGTGATCAAGAGTTAATTAGCCTGATCTCATCATTCTACAATGTATATGTGTATCAAAACATTACACTGTGCCCCATAAATACATGCAATTATCTGTCAATTAAAATAAATACATATAAAAATAAAGTCTAAAAAACTATGAAGTACAGTGTATATTTAAGCTGTTTTGATATTTTTACATTGGTGATTTTTATTTAAGAAGACAAAGAAAAACAAAGAGAGAGAAGTTAGGTGGCAACTATGGAATAGGCAGGACACTGCATCACTCTAGTTTTATTTCTATCCTGCTTTTGACCCTTGATAAACTTTATCAGGGTAGATACAGCTATATCGGGATATAGCTATTATTTAATTTTGTATCCTAGGTGGCTTAGTTTCTCAAGAAGATTGGGTTATTCTGGTGGTGGGGGGGCAACTGTTATGAGATTTATATGATTGGGTGGAGAGTGTTGCGAATGTTTTCAATCTTGAATCTTTTATTGTGGTGTTTCCCAAACCTGTTTGATGATAACAATCACCTGGAACTCTTGTTAAATATGTTGATTACACGGCCCTCCCCTCTTCCCTAGAAATCTGATTCAATAGATCTGGGCTGGGGCCAAGAACTTTTTTTTAATGCCCTTCCCAGATGCTTTTGATCTCGGGAAAAGCATACAGAACTTTGTCCTGAAGAGAATGGATTCGAACCCAAGCAGAGACACGCTTCATGTCCAATCCGGGCACATGCACGGCTACGTATACATGCATGCATATAAGGGAAATAAAAGTTTCACAAAAGAATGAATTCATATGAGGTGCCCTGTTACCATTTTTAGTCTATTTCATTTTTTAAAGCGGTGGCGGTCACCCACTTTCGTGGGCCACGGGCAGCAGTTTGAGAACACGGCCCCATCCCAGCGAGCCCAGCTCCCTGGCTCCGTGCACGTGGGTGAATCCCGAAGAAAGGGCTTCCCCATAAAGGTCTGCGAGGCACGGGTACGTTTAGAGCACATAATTGTGATTTGATTAACGGCGCCACCTAATAGAAAGAAAACAGGAGAACAGAGCGCGAGGTGATCCTGTGGCTTTTTGACTGTGCTGCACACAGTCCTTGGCTTCTCCGTGGAAGAGGAAGACGGAAGGTGCGGAGATCATTCAGGTTGGAGATTCACGTGAGATTAAGATAAGTCCCTGGGAACGCGGGGTGTCTCGGGATGGATTGGGAATTTGTGGATCGAATCTGCATGGTTAAAGAATGAGTTAAGGCCGGGCGTGGTGGCTCACGCTTGTAATCCTAGCACTCTGGGAGGCCGAGGCAGGCGGATTGCTCAAGGTTAGGAGTTCAAAACCAGCCTGAGCGAGACCCTGTCTCTACTATAAAAATAGAAAGAAATTAATTGGCCAACTAATATATATATATAAAATTAGCCGGGCATGGTGGCGCGTGCCTGTAGTCCCAGCTACTCAGGAGGCTGAGGCAGGAGGATTGCTTCAGCCCAGGAGTTTGAGGTTGCTGTGAGCTAGGCTGACGCCACGGCACTCACTCTAGCCTGGGCAACAAAAGCGAGACTCTGTCTCAAAAAAAAAAAAAAAAAAGAATGAGTTAAAAGCCCACTGAACGGCAGAAGGCCAAGCACGACTGAGAGCATCGTGGCCGTGAGGATGGCGGAGACTGAGCAGGCGGGTCCCCGGGGGCTGTCCCGGGTCACGGCTCACCGATGCTGGCGCCACGGCCGGCGTCCTGCTCCGACACACACGCTCTCTGTCCCGGAGCACACAGACTCCCTGGTGGTCCTGTGTTTTTTTTCCTAGTTCCGGACACCGG